CCCATCCTTTAGGTGTGTGGAATAAAGTACGTTGTTTAAACCTTACTCGTGTAGCGTGTACTTGTTGTTTATGTCGCATATAAATTACACAACTGCTTTAAGTTTCGAATTATTAAAGACCCAGTTCACAGGGGTGTTATTGGTGTCATTTGTTTGGGACAATTTGAAATCTTAGCTCAACCCAACTACCACCCTGTGACAATGTGTTATTACTTTAATTTCGCTTTTTTTATTAATTTTGTCGAAGAATTCAAGTAAACAAGCCATGCATGGTACAGTCCCCGTTAGTTATTCAGGAATATGATTATGATGATTGTTTAACATTTAAATGCTTGACATTTGTATCTGATCGTCAAACAAGTACTTGTCCACATTGAGAGATATTGCTCTGGAACAGCATTAATTAAAACAAAATCAGCCATTTTGAATACATGTATAATGAATATATAAAATTTGAACATAATCAGTCAAAGCAAGTCAGAGATATGGCACTAGAACCATATTCATTAAAACAAAATGGCCGCCAGTTGGCCATTTTGAATCTTATCTAAAAAACAAAATGATGTGCATCAAGGTCCTATAATGTCCAACGTATATATACCAAGTTTGAACAAAATCCATCTGTAAACAGCCGAGAAATGCCTGATTTTGATGATTTTTTAGCACAAAAATGGCCACCAATCGACCATTTTTAATAGAATCGTCGAACCAATATATCTGTATATCTATGACATGATGTATAATGAATATTTAAAATTTGAACATAATCAGTCACAGCAAGTTTGAGATATGGCACTAGAACTACATTCATTAAAACAAAATGGCTGCCAGTCGGCCATTTTGAATCTTATCTAAAAAACAAAATGATGTGCATCAAGGTCCTATAATGTCCAACCTATACAGCAAGTTCGAACATAATCCATCTGTAAACAGCCAAGAAAAGCTTATTTTAATGATTTTTAGAACAAAAATGGCAGCCATTCGACCATCTTAAATCAGATCGTGAAACAAATTGACGTGCTTATGCATAATATCATGTATGATGTATGTGCGAAGTTTGATTGTGATTGGTCCAGGCCTTTCTAAGACCGAATGGGGACTAAAAACTTGATGAGAAGATAATAATATTACTAAATAATGTGTCAAGAACTATATTTTTAAAACATAGCACAACTATCAAAACCTTGCCCATTGAAAAATACACAACCTTTACATGAAAAAAGTGAGTATAAAAATCCTTGAACAATGCAATAATATCTAAGCATTATGTGTGAAAAAACAATTAATTTCAATATCCCTTAAGAGGATGATATAATATTAATTGTAAAAATATTATTATAAATGTATATAAGCAAAATAAAATGATAGACCTAATTTTTTTATTTATACTCATAATAAAAGCAAGATATCAGTTTACTCCACTTATCTAATTAACAGATCTTAGGGAGCACATTACTAACATTTTGTTATCAGCCATAAAATCAGATCCGGCATATGTCAGAAATATGGCATTTTTGAAAACAAATGGCCGTCAGTCAGCCATTTTGAATCCGATATTTGAAAAACAAAAAGATTTAAATCAAGATCCCAAATTTTGAATAAAATTTATCACTGCAGCCAAAGAGGAGATTAAATGGAAAAATTAAATGCTCAATTTGAACTAGATCATTAAATATTGTTTGTGTATGTGATGCACACAGACATACTATTATCACACAAGAAATTCAATATACAAGTAGAATGTGCTTACTCAGGGCTAGTTTGGCCATTTCTAGATCAGCAATCCAGTTAGTCTTGTTTTTTTCATGTCCAGCATTAAATACAACAACAGTTCTACCAGACCTGTGTAGAAAATCAACTATATAAACACTGCAATGATTTACACCCAGGTTGTGTTTCAAGTGATTACCAGTATCCTAAATTATCGAACAAAACGACTTTATTGTGATACAGACGCACCAAATAAATGTTATGGTATGCCGTGATGATATGGAATAAATAAATTTTATATTGCTATGATCTACGTAATAATATTCAACATACTTTCCAGCAGCCGGTAATGATAACTGTATTTTACAAGAATCAGCGGCTCGTATTTCATCTTCTTTTCTTTCTATCAATGTGTGTATAGCATG